TCTTTCCCTGCTCTGTATGGTCTGTTCAATTTATTTTCCTCTCTGTATTTGAAATGATAGTTGTGCCTTTAATTTTTGGGCCAGAGACACAATCGTAATGCCAAACGGGGATATGTCTGTCCTGTGCCTTTCTTATTTGCTTCCAGCTTCCTCCCTTTTTATCCCATTCTCCACACTTTTTTTTTCTTAGCACCTTCATTTAACTTTGGTTTTCATGTATTTTTAGCCAAAAGCATAAGCAGAAGCAGTGATAAAACTAACCATATAGAAGCAGTCATGTCAGCTGTTGCTTTCCTGACTCTGTGGATGTAGAGCTGTGTGCAGAAAGCACTTCATGAAAGTTCTGCCCTGTGGACTGTCCAATGGGGAAGCTGTTCAGATGAACATGAGGAAATGCAAGATGTGATAATAGAACATACATGTGACTTGTTGAGTTCCTAAAGGTATTTTCTCTCTTTTTTCCCACAGATTCATCGTTTTTGCACTTCCATGAATCAGACTGTGACATAGGAGGGACTTCATCTTGTGAATCTGTTCTTTCTTTCAACACAGAAAAAATTCTGGTATGCTGTCAAAAATATAATATGCAAACCAGTTTTTAATAGATTGTTGAAGTCGCAGATCAGTTTAGCTGCATAATGGGTTAAGATTAAGTTTGCGCAAATAATGGGAAATAGAATCAGTAGGAGTAAGTTCCCAAAAGGCTCAAGTATGAATGAACTCAAGTTGGTAATGAAAGGATGATTTCGTAGTACCCCACCATGAGTCCTAGGGCTGTCAGCACCTTCAACTGATTGAAGTTGATGTTTCTGCTGCAGGCTAACCTTCACCTGGCTTAGTCTGCCAATTCATTTTTTATCTTTAGGGGTGCAAAGGATATGGCTGAAAAAAGGAAAAACATGTTTGTTTTATCCAGAGTAACTGCCTGAGGAGGTTTACCATATAATGTCTGTGAGAGTAGGAGAGTAGGAGTGAGCAATCACTATGTGCACAGATGATAGAGGCTTCAGACTATATTTCACTGTATGTAATACAGACAAGGGATTATTTTGGAATTTGGGTTTTCTTGCAATGCTACTGTTAACCTGTTGATCTTGAACAAATATCATCTTCAGTCTACATCAGAATACAGGTTTGATGTTACTTCATCAGTCCAATAGAGTCACAGATATTGAAAATCTTCAAGTAATTCCCATGTGAATATACAAAGAGACCTTGCCAAATTTGTAGAAATTATTTGCTGTAGGGGAGCATGAAAACAGTATTCTAATTCGAAGCAACTTCTCCAGAGGTGGCATTTGGAAATAAAACTACTCTACTGCAAGTTTATCAAGACAATTATTTAACTTGAATGTTCTCCTTAGACATTACTTCATCAGATATTGATCAGATCTTCTGTCTAGTCTAGTGGTACCAGCAATTCTTGCAAAGACCATGGCCTGTGTATTAGTTTGCTAGAAATTCTCCTGTTGCAAAGAGCAACAATTCAGCCTATCAGGAGCTGGTGCTGTGAAGAAAATTCCTTTCTCATTCCCAAAGACAGATGACTTGCAGATTTTGCATGTAGAGCTGCAGCATATCTGACCTATAACTGGATTCAGAATTTGTTGAAGTATGAATCCACTTCCTCCCCTACCTCAAGAACCAAACAAAACAGACGAGTCAGGTGAGGGTGGGAAAAGCTGTGAGGTGTTTCTCCTGCAAGTGTCACATGCAGCTCTATAATTCATAGGATATTAGTGTGATGCTAGATCCTTTTGTTTGTAGCTTATTCTCCTATACCCAGCATGAAATCGTTAAAGGCATAGGCCTTTTTTGTAAATCCATCAAGGAAAAGGTTTACTTGAGTAAATTTTTTTTTTCTAAAATTAAGACAATTACGGAAGAATAATATTTTGCAGAGTAAAATGTTGAAGATAATTTTATGACATAGATTTTTTGGAAATTACCTGAAGGCCATTGGTAATATGGAAAGGTTGTGTTTGGAGTGGTGTGTTTTGTAAATACATGTGGTCTGCAATGTAGATTTAGTTTTCTAACAGAGGTGTACCTGTTGAACCCTGGTCATTCTTGTGCTGCTTTTTCATGAGGTTTTTCTATGAGGAAAAGAACTTTTCCATCCTGTTACTGGAGGTGCAGCAGTAGGTGGAGTAATAATTCTCAGATTATTATAGTGTAATGTTGAACTCCTATGTGATATCTATATTCAGTAAAACCAAAATTTGGAAAATCTGAATTTATTTTTTTTTTCCTACCCTCCAAAATACTTACGTTTTTAGAGCAACCAAACTTCCTTTTCATTCCTAAGGCCATTAGATAAACAGGGCAGAAAGTCTGCAATGGGATTCAGCCGGTGACTTCAGTGCTTCGTAAATCATTGAAATGTCTGTGTCCAGACATGAGACAAGTACTGAGGCTACTTTTGAACAAGCCAAAAAAAGTGGAAGGGGGAGAACAAAGTGCAATCCTCTCAGTAGAGGAAGTGAAGAGTTAAATATATTAATTGAAGTTAAGGTGTTTAACTGTCTTCTCTGAAGTTAAAGATGTACATATGTGCTGATTAACTGAAGCAAAATAAGACAACTGAGCAGTGAGAGAAGTTATTTTCTCCTTTCTTACTTTCTAAAGCAGTTTGGAAGGCCTGTTAATTAAATGAGAATTTTGTATTTTTCTAACAAACTGCTCTGGTAGGCTCACAGCTGTCTATGGAAAATACTTACGAAAGTGAACAGAGTGGAGCCTTTCTTTATTTCTGAAGAGTTGTATTGTTTGGAGAACAGAACTCTTAGATGAGGCTACAGTTGGTTGAACAAATTTACTGTTAAAAGGACAGCCTTTATACTTTAGTATGGCTCTGTTAAATTGTCTTTATTGCTCAAGAGGTATTCTTTTCAGTCTTTCATTTTCAATGTTATATCCTTCTGTAGTACCCTATCCTTTGCAGGAGACAAAGGAATAATTAGTGGTGTAAAGAGCATAAACTTTCTTATGATGTAGTGCGTGTTTGAGGCTTCCAAAGCTACATGTTAAGGAGATTTAATACAGAAACTTCAGCTGCTGGTAAATTGCTGACAATGTCCTTTCATCTGAACGGCTTGGTTAGACTTAGAGAGGATGACAGCAGCACCTGACTGAAGAGCAGTTGTTCTCCCTGTGGAAAATTAGGAATGAATTTTTTTTCAGTTACCTTAAAGCAATCACACTAGTCTTACCTTTTGATTTAAGGCATTCTCTTAAGGATTTAAGACATGGGTTTTCTATTAAATTCTTAATTGTTGTTTCCTGAACACTTGAAAACATGTTTTACAGAGTCAAGCGAAGTTGCTTGCAGAGCAAAAACGCTTTCCATTTGCTACTGATAATGACAACACAAACGAAGAATTGGGTAAGATGTCTTATATAAGGTTTATGTGCTAATTATTAGCACTGAATGTTTTGAAACTGAACAGATTATTTCTTAGTGATGCATTTATTTTAAAGTGATCCTAGCAAGCCTGAAAATGCAATGACTTTTCTGTGGTCATACAGAGAAAATATGTCTCTTCCTAAAAATCTTTTCTGCTTTGCTCACAGGAATTCTCCACCATGTCTGCTTAAGCAGGTGTTAAAAAATAATTTTGATTAAATCCTGTTAAACAGTCTCACCTACTTCCTGCTTCCCTTTTTCTGCCATTATTGATGACTAAAACTATTCAAGCATCCAGAAAA